CCCCAAAACCCCAAAACCCCTTATATGATAATATGCAGAATTCAAAAGCATTTCAAATAATAAATTAAGGTAGCAATAATAAGCTGAGATACTATTCCATATTTAATGCTAAATAGTTTTGTATCAAAACTAATTATAAGCATTAGATGTTTTTAGATCCTAAGTATCTATTGCACTTGGTTAGGGAACTTGATACTCATTATCTCCGTTAATTTACTAATCAATAACTTTCTATTAATCAGATTCAGCCATTTACATCCTAACATGCTCTTTCGCCCTCTAAGATACTTTGTATATTCCATATATAGCAATTAAGAATCCAATGGACATAAATATCAACTTCTCTATCTCTCCACTTTTGCTTTCATCATCGGCTATTTCCATAATATTTTACATAATAGAACCAACATAAGCCCAAAACAGATTAGGAATACTCATTCCTAAGGCTCCAACAGCAAATTAAATCAGAGAGACATTGGTAAGTCCGAATAAATAGCACAGAAGTGAGTATGGGATCAAAGAGAACTGCATAAAGAAAACAAATCTCCATCCCTCTTTCTAGATAGCATAATTGTATTGGATATAGTTTGGATATCTTTTGGATATAAAGTTAGTAAACCATTGTCTAAATATGTATCTGCTGAGAATAAAAGCTACAATAGCTGATGATGTCATGCAAAATGTACTCACCACTCCACTGTAAAATATGCTCTCTAAAATGTTTATAATGCTTATTTACAGATGATATTTGGATAAGTTCTTGAGTAAGCCCAACCAACTCCTACAGTAAGATAAACAGTTGGAAGTAGGAATATAATTGAGAAAAAGTAAATTGCCCAAATGTAGTAGAATGAGGTTAGGGGATCAACAGCAACCTAAAATAAAGCTTTAGTTTAGCACATAAAAATATTAGATGGCTTTGCGTGTTACTTACTCTTTAAAATAAAGTCAGTAAAATCTGAATGAATTCATCATATCTGTAAAATGTCAAGAAAATAACTGCAAATATTATCAGAACTATCATTATTTTGAAATATTTGCTAATTTTTTCGTTAAATGTCAGCTGCCCATCAACTCCTTGTGTAACATAGAGATCTAGGCTTTTACTTTAAAGAGTCTTTTCGGACTTTGAGGACTTTCTGGATCCGTTTAGTTTTGGTTCGTCTTAGCCTTTAATGCTATCATAATTTCTGTTTAATTATTCGCTATACTTTTTGTCTTTGAACTGTAATTTATGATCCAATTTGTCTCTAGATTCAAAAAGAGGGGTTCTCAAATCCTTGCTTGTGCTGTGAAGGTAAGCGTCTTGCTATTTGAGTCTTGATCTATTCATTTACTCAATCTATGCTTCATCCGAATAATCTTAATTCATTAGTTGTAAATTCATTATAAGTTATAACACACTTTTCTATTACTTTTAATATTAATATTGAGCAAAATATATTTATCATTTACAATACTTTGAAAAAAATTGTCATTGCGGGGTTTTGGGGTTTTGGGGTTTTGGGG